TCTGCAGGGCTGATATTGCTAGAGGAGTGCAGAGTTGGAAGATTTGGACTAGACGTGGGGTAATTTGCCCCAAGGGGGAAATTGAGCCCTCTCCCCAGAACCCCACCATCCCTGCCGTGTGTGTGATTTCCCATAGGTCGCATAGCCCCAATCGGAGAAGTAGCCCAGTGGGCACATCCCTGCCTCTTGCTCAGCCGCAGAGTGGGGAGACTCGCCCTCCGGCCTTCTCACAGAAGTGGAGGGCTAGGCAGGGGAAGCCTTAGCCGGGCTGCTTACTCGATGGGTGTAATGTGATGGACAACGGCCACCCGGGCTGCACGGGGAGCAATTAAGTGGACTGGTCGGTTCTACTGGGAGTGTTCAGTTTCTGCTGATCCCTGTGGCGCTGATATCAATATCCCATGTCTAATTTGGACTGCTCCCGGAATTTGGAAATTGTAGTCCAATTTGTGCTCCAGTTTGGAAATTGTGGTCCAAAAACACAAAACTGCACATCCGTGGATCCAGTACTGGCCTCAAAAACATTGTGAATACAGTACATCCAGGATGGTGGTGCTAGGCTGGCATTTCAAGGCAGACTTCATCATAGGTATAAAAGCTGGGGTCCCCATTTTGACCCTCCAATCTTGAGTGACCTTGCTAGGAATTCTCGACTCAGTCCTGGCTCTCGCTTCTGGATGAATGACCGCCGTGAGGACACTGTGCTTTGGAAAGGTCTTCTTCTTCTTTTTCCTTGTATGTTTCGGAAGCCATCCAAAGGTCCTTCCAGAGTGTAAGGATCAGCCGAGAGAATCTCCCGTTGTTGCCCAGGAGAAGCCTGGATGTGTTCTGTGTCTTCAGGTACCATCTATGTCCCCATGGACATATCATGAAAAGGCAAGACTCCGGGAAAAGGGCAATAATAGTGGAAAAAGCTGAAGACAGCAGTAAAGGAGGGAGACCAATCAAAAGATAAATGGTCTTAATAAAGGAGGCCGCAACTGGCCCTGTGCAAAATTTGAGCAGGGCTATTAATGATAGGACGTTTTGGAGGTCATTAATTCATAGGATTACTATAGGTCAGAACCAGTTTGAGGACACAAAATAACAAAAAGTTCAAACGTTCACAAATAAAACATGGATGTTGACATGTTAATGTCAAATTTGTTACCTATTTTCAGCAAAGGCAACAGTAGCATTACACACATTTAAAGTAATTGAACAACCATTATTTTTAGCTATACTGTATTCTGCGTAGGGGAAACAAGTGTTTATAGACTTTGTTGTATAAAAAAGGAATGCCCACATACTGTACCTGTCATAAAGTGTGGGTCTGTTATCATTTTCAGGTTTAGATGCTGGATGTTTTTAATTACAAGTACCAGAAATTGAAGTAAAAAACAAAGATTCTTGGGATTTATACCCAAGACTTGGCCATCATGATCCTCTACCAAGCCAGTAATTATTAATTAATTAACTATTAATTGACTCATTTATTCATTTCTTACATTTGGTTACCAACCAACTTATTCCAAAGCACCACTCAGAACAGTTAATAACAGACATAAAAATATGTTGATCTTCCCCCAAATTCCCAACAGTAAGATTAATTTTAAAAATAAAAAACCCCGTTCATTCACCATCTTCACCTGCTAGGACCATAGAAAAGACTATACGTAGAGAGCATAATTGTTTGTAGAAATTTCTGTTCTGTGCAGTTATTTTAGATCACAGCATTTAATTCCTGACACATGCACTCCTTCCAGGCAAAAGTCATAAAAACTGAAAGTTACTGGCTTCTCATCTTGTGTGAATAATTCAATTTTTAAAATGCTGTTAGAAGTATGAAAACTACTTTTAGTACAACTTGAAACAAAAGCAGCCTCTGACTCACAAATGAAAAAAGTTAGGTCCATAACCTTTCCTCTGAGCCCCAGCCTCTTTTTCCCACTTTGACTCAGAAACGGGTTTGCTTCAAATGCTAAAAGCATTTTTGAAACTCCTAACAGTGTTTTTGAAACTAAATTATTCACGGAAAACTAGAAGCCAATAGTTTTCAACGGTGTGACTTCTGCCTGGAGGCTGTGCATGCTGGATTCCCAGTGTGGTATAGTGGACAGAGTGACAGACAAGGAATCTGGATAACAGGGTTTGAGTCTCCAATCATCCATGTAAACTCACTGGGGGAACTGGTAAAACCAACTCTTAAATATCTAATTTACCTTGAAAAGTCCTATTAGGGTCGCTATAAATTGGTTCTGACTTGATGACACGAAACACACAGTGCATTGATTAGAAAATCTGTTGCTGAGCTTTGAAATAACCTTTGTGAGATTATGCAACAGAGGTCATGTTAAAGTGGGTAAAAAGTTATTGCTCCTTTACAGCCACTTTCGGGAGCTGTACAAGTATGTCAAGTTTTACTAGACCCGTGTAACCTATATGTTACGAGATTTGTTCTTTAGATAAAAGCACCAGACTGACCGAGGAAAGGAATCTTAACTAGTGATTGAATGAAATAATTGCAAAGGAGGTCAGGAGTAAAAGGCCAAGCGAATCCCGTGTTTTATTCCAGAACCAGCCATTCGAGTCACAAACTAACTCTTAACATCGGCAATCTGTGACACTAATCATTTACTTTTTTTGGCACAATTTACCACAATTCAAATAGAAGGGGTGGCAAAACCTGGCAAGTTACTTCTTAAATACATAGTTACAGTCCTTGCTCTGCAGTGCTAAGACTATTATTTTGCAAATCCTCCTTGACTACAGGTGTTTCCTAAAACCGGAGGGAGCAGCAGATTTTAATATTTGTTTGTTGTTGCTGTATTTTTTTTTTAAAAAAATGCCCATAATGATAACATTCTACAGATGGCGACTGCAATATTAGGTGTGGCACGCCTTCAGAGGTGATGCCTCTTTTTTACCACAGGTGGTGCCAGGGGAAATTATTGAGCCCTCTCCCCAGAGCCCCACCCTCCGTGCAGTGTGTGTGATTTGCCATCTGTTGCATAGCCCCAATCATAGAAGTAGCCCAGTGGGCGCATCCCTGCCTCTTACTCAGCCGCTGAGTGGGGAGACTCGCCTTTACATTCCAGAGAAATACCCATTTAGTTGATGATGGGACAGGTTTCAGTCAATTTGACGATAGTCTGGTACCGTAATCGAAAGACATTTATCCATATTTGCACTTTGTTATTTTGCCTTTGCATTCCAGAGAAATGTGAAGGCCCTTTGAGTTTGTACTTGCTGGGTGCAACCTTCTTAGTAGGTGTGCAGAGGGAGACCGTGGCCATTTATTCCACCAGGCTGTGGAAGTAGGGGAGAAAGGAGGTCATCCATTCCCGCCCCCTTCCAGAAAAGTCAGCTCTTTTAGGCTTTCCTCCACGATTAGATGCATGGCATCTCCCTGTAGATGAAGGGGGAAGAGGAATCGGGATGAGATCATTGGTTTGGGTAATCAGCAGGGGACGTGGTGGCCCTGCAGGTTAAACCTCAGAAGCCTCAGTGCTGAAAGGTTGGAAGAACCTCCATCGTAAGATCGAATCCATGCAACGGAGGGAGTTCCCATCGCTTGTCCCAGCTCCTTCCTGCCAACCTAGCAGTGCGAAAGCATGTAAAAATGCGAGTAGATAAATAGGTACCACCTTGGTGGGAAGGTTACGGCGTTCTGTGTCTAGCCGCGCTGGCCACGTGACCACGGAAACTGTCTACGGACAAACGCTGGCTCTACGGCTTGGAGATGGAGATGAGCACCGCACCCTAGAGTCGGACACGACTGGACTCAATGTCAAGGGGAACCTTTACCTTTACCTAATCATCAGTTTTGGACTTCGGAGAGTAATTTATCTGGAAATAATAATAAAAGCATGAAGTCCGATTGCATTATAAAAATGGTTGCTGCTCTGGCCATGATCTGAAAAAGGCATGAAGCCCAGCTGTGTTGTAGCAGTATAGCTTCCTTACTTTTGGTCGTTAAATGGATTTTATGAGCCAAATTCAATTAAACTCACTGAATAATAAGAGTCACACTGGTCTTGTTCTACCAAAGTCACACGGATTCGGTACGTCTGCTGTGGCTGGGGGGGAAAGGACTGGGTGTAAACCTGAAACAGACCGGATCTCATTTTCCTTCCCCCCTCTTTTTTTCCCCTTGTGTTGCACCTTTTCATAATGTAAACCTGGGAGCAGGAAAATGTGTTTTCCTCTTTTTACTGATGCAAAAGCTGCTTTCTACAGTTGGTTGGCTGAAGGAGTTGCTGTTCTCTACCTCCTCAGTGAATTTCTATGGCTGAGTGTGGATTTGAACGCAGGCCTCCTGAATCCTAAATCCATTAAACCATCTGCTCAACCGCTTTGGATACATTGTAATCATATAGCATTATCTAATGGGCAAAATCCTATTGGCATAACTTTGCATCGATGTAACATAGATTGGGCACTGGAACCAATTAATTTACACTAATTAAAAGCTTCCTATCCTCCTGTCTTAGGTTCCGAGGCTCCCTTTTGCCCTTGGGAGCCTTTAAAATAAATTAAAAAAAAAACAAAAATTGCTGCCTGCTCGCTCTTGGTGGATCGGTACTGCTAGCAGTGACCCCACCATGAATTTTTTTAAAACAACTAAGGTCCCTGCCTGCAGTGCCGAGGCTCCCAAGGCTTCCCTGGGGCAAAACGGAGCCCTGAGAGCATAAGGAAGGGGGAGAGGAAACTTTTGATGGTGTACATTCAATGTTTCCAGTGCCCGATCCATTGCAAAGTTAAGCCAATAGAATTTTGCCCAATGTCAGAGAAGAGCAAACTTCCACAAGGGAGTGATCGAGGCCAACTCTACCCTTGACTGCCATATCATGTGATGTACAGTGCAGGAAATCCATCTCTTTCTCTCTCTCTTTCTCCCCCCCCCAGCATCTCTGCATTTACCAGAGCACTTCACCTCACCAATGTCAAACCGCCCATTTACCTGGATGCGTCTCAGAGCTGGGAATCGTGGGGCGGCTTGCGTCCTGGCTCTTTGGACCTCCTCATCAACATCAATATGATTCACATCTCAGAACTGAGCTGCACGGAGGTGAGGGTTTCCTTTGAGATCCTTTGTAGCAAAATCTTATGTGGCAATTCATCTCATCAATCTGCTAGACTACTGTAATGTGCTGGATGTTGGGCTGCCCTTGAAGTCTGGTTTGGGAGGGTGGTTAAACCTTGTTGTGGCTGTTGTATCTCTAAGTGAGACAAGGTTTTATGAATATGGGCATAATAGGCCTGTCCTGTGTTGGTGGCACCAGTTTCTGGTTCATTTCAGGACCCAATTCAAAGTGTTGCTTCTGATCTTTAAAGCCCTTCACAGCTTAAGCTCTAACTCCTTCACAACCCCTTGTCTCCATGTGTACATACAAGTATATGGAGATCTTTGGAGCAGGGGAATCTGGGGGGGGCATCTCCCCATCAAACTGGTGACTGACAGTGGGACACCTTAAACTGCAGAATGCTGGCCCCAGAACGATTCCCCTGGTGCCTTCTTTATTATCCTTTTAGCACCATTGAAAGGCCTTTTTATTCTCCCTGAAAGACGTTTTTATTCTACCGTAAATATGGTGTAAACCATAAATGATTTTTATACCATATTTATGAACTGGTGGTTCAACTTAATTTAGTGACTGACAGTGGGACACCTTAAACTGCAGAATGCTGGCCCCAGAACGATTCCCCTGGTGCCTTCTTTATTATCCTTTTAGCACCATTGAAAGGCCTTTTTATTCTCCCTGAAAGACGTTTTTATTCTACCGTAAATATGGTGTAAACCATAAATGATTTTTATACCATATTTATGAACTGGTGGTTCAACTTAATTGAAGTGGTTCAACTTAATTTCATTTTTGTGCATGCATTTTACATAACATGTACAATGGTGCCTCGCATAACGAGCGCACCGTTTAACGATGAATCCGCATAGTGATCCGCTTTTTTGGGATCACTAATGCGATCGCATTGCGATGTTTTTTTAAACAGCTGATCGGCGGTTCCAAAATGGCCGCTGGGTGCCTAAAATGGCCAAGAAGGTGCTGGCCAAAGCATTAAAATTGCAGCTGTTTTTTGTTTGTTTGTTTGAAGCAGACTTTATACAATAGTTCAGGCAGGCAGTGTGCCATCTAGCTGTTTGTGGAGGGATGATTTTTTTTTAAGAAATGAAAGATAGTGATAGCAATAGCAGATATATAATGTGGTGCTTATAACTGCTTGTATGGCAACAGAGGATGAATGCAATGGGCAACTGGTCATTCATGATTTTGATAAATGCCCTGCAGAGTTTCCAGGATTGGCTGACCTTCGTTTTTCTTTGCTTTTTTTCTCGTTATCCTTTTTTGTCTTCACTCTTCACCAGGGGTTATTCAAAGGAGCAGGAAAGCTGTTGAAACCCAAAGCAGTGATGCTCACTTATGGGGTAAGATATCGTTTGTTTTATGAGGATGCTCCCAAAATTCTTTCGATTACATTAAACGGTTTAGGACCTCGATATCTGGCAGAGCGCCTTCTCCCACCCTGTTCTGCCAGAGTCACTCAGTCCAGCCAGGCCGGGTGGCGGAGAGGCCTAACACCGAGAGAGGACCGGCAGGAAAAAAACCCGTCCTGCCTCCTCATCGAAGTGGTCAGCTGCCAAAGGAGGAGAGGAAAGGAAGCCCAAGCTCCTTCCCATATTGGACAGTCCATGACCCGGGGTGTGCGTGGAGGGTTTTGAGTGGGGCAGCTGGCCAGAGGTGGGGGGAGAGAGAATGCGCAACACCCGTGGAGCTGTGCCGGCGAATTTCATCACTCCAGCCCAAATTAATTTGGGACTATCTCTATTTAGAACAGTAAAGCCAGCCTTGGCTTGCTTTGGTAGTAGAAAGATTTTG